CGATTTGTTGAAAAAATGAATGATTAAGCTCATCGTGCAAAGCAAGCACGATAATTTATTTAGTTTAATTTAAATTAATATGATAATGATGCTTTTAGAGCATTTTTTTTAATATAAAAAAAGGATACTCCAAATGTCCGTTTTCCGAAAGTAACTTCTTTTCCTCCTCTCGTAAAAGGGCCATTGGAATTCCTGCCAACCGTCTTTAACAGAAAAAACAAACACAAACTTAACCAACCACCAAACAATAGGCACGTGTCTCCCCGGCCCTATGACATAATGATATACTCCCTCTTGCTCATAGCGTAAGAGGTTAATTAAGTAGCACCTCCAATTTTTAATATGAGAATTTATTTAACTTTTAATTTGATTTTTAATACTACCCCCAATCCTAATTATAAGAGTCATTTGACTAATTTAAAAGATTAAAGAAGTAAGTTGAGTTAGTTATTTGTCCTAAATAGGTATTGTCTTTCCTAAAATATCCTTACTAATGAAGTGTACTGACTAGAACTATCATTATTAGAAGGGTTATTTTGGAAAAAATGTATAAATATGAGAGAAAAAGTGGATTGGGGTTTTATACTTAAGACCAAAATAAAAGTCAAACAGGGTCTTATATTAAAGATCGGAGGTAGTATAAGACTTCAATCTATTTGGTCTTTTAGATTTATTCATTTTTTTAAAATAGTCATTATAGTTGTTACATATGTTAAAAGTTTTATCAAATAATAGTTCTAATTAATGCGCATAATTAATAAGAGTATTTTAGTAAATATAATATTTATTTATTATAAATAACTATATAATTAATTTTTTTAATCTTTTTAAATTAGTTAATTAAGTTTTATATTAAGAACCGGAAATAATAAGAAATGAGTTATTAAATATATTTTAAGTTGATAAGGGTTACCTATTTTACTTTTATTAAAAAATGTGATTGTAAGATTTTCTCTCATCTTTCATGCTTTTAAAATTCTTTCTTCTACTTGTAATAAAGAGTAAAAGTGAAAAACAATCTATAATTATCCTATCAATTTTTTATATTTTGGATCAAAATTTTGTTTTAGGATACCTCTCATATATCTGAACCAAAGGGAGTATTAAGTCGTTTTCAAAGACAAGACTGTGAGTTCGATCCTCTGTGATGAGACTGCCAATTCTATCCCGGCCCCTATGGGTAGGATGGGCACGTGAGGTTTTTTGGTTAGGTGAAGGATGGTGAAAATAGAGTGAGGAAATTATAGGCATATGATAATTAGTTATTTAATGAATTTTACTTTCTGTTTGCACAGTTGTATACGCTTTTTACTCAATAAATGGTACTCTTTAATTAAGGACCACGCTAAAAGGAGATGAAGCCGTCTCTTATTAAATGTCTTTTAAAAGATTTTTTTTATATAATATAAAATTGATTGAACTATTGTTTATATTTTTATAACTAGACTAGGTTATATCCCGCTTGAATTGGCTGGAAACAAAATTTTTAAACAATACACAGTAGAAAAGGTACGAGGAATTTGGGTTTAATTTTGTAGATTAATCTTATTCAATTTTTAAATATATTCATTATAATTTTAGTCTGACACAAAATCATCTCCCTCCAAATTGAATACTTGTATAGAATTCAATCAAATTAGAAATATGCTCATGCATGAAGAGCTATATTTATTATAATATGATACTGAATCAAATTAAAAAAAAATAATATGATACTGAATATTAAATAATAATAAAAAGAGAGATATCTTCCAACATATGTATTTTTTTTAATTCAATCATTATATTATAAGAAAATAGAACGCGCATACCAGCACAAAACAAATATATCAAAACATATACTACATTTTGTACTTAATATAATTGATTAATTTGGGAACATTAAGAAAATTATTAAATTACCTCAAGATATTTATATTTATAATTTTTTTCTCAACTAATCTGTCTCACTTATAAATTGATATATAATTTAATAATATATATAAGTATTTTAGATAAATCATATAACATATGCTATAATTAAGTAATTTAATAACTTCTTTAATCTTCTCAAATTAATCAATTAGGTTTTATATTAAAGAGTCCGGGTAATAAATAACCACTGTGCACAAGTCAAACTTCCTTTTCATTATTTTTTTTTTAATTTTGTGATGACTTGACTATTTTTTATTTCATTCATTCATTTACAATAACGTACTCCCTTCATTCCTGTTTACAGCACCATTCTTATAATCCTTAATGTAAGTTATTTTTACAAACATTATCTATATATTTATCACTTTTTTTTTAAATGCCCTTTATTCACTATCCTCGTAATTTATTTAAATTTATCTCAGCTCCCTTATAATAAGGGTCAAATGGATTATAAAATTTACAAAAAGTCATTATTTAAAGGCTGATAAATTTAATCTTAGATCATATCAATTGGAATCTATAAGTGACATCATATGATGCATGCAACTAACATTAGTAATTAATATATGGAGTACTTTTTTTTTTGATTGAGTCTAAAGTATACACTGCCTACTAATAGTAGTAACTAATCTTCTCGTATTAGGACTTTTTGAAAGGATTTTAGTGTTGGTCACAAGACCCTTTTCATATACACCACAGTGATCGAACCTTAACTAATACTTAAAAAAACTCAGTTAAATGTCAACTGTTAGGCCACATGGTTTATGTCGTGCTTTGTAATTATTGTTGTTGCAGTGCATTTTAATATAACCCATTTAAAAACATATCTCATAACATGTCCTTATAAGAAGTATTGTTTTTTTTAATTTTAGAAAATTTAAGTATACATTTATTATAAAAGTTTTTACTTAGGAGTTTTTAAATGCAAATTTGTCCTGAAAATTTAAAATTGTTACAATGTTGCCTTGTACTATCAAAAATATTAATAGTCATCATCATTATATTAATAGTAGGGGAAAAAAATTGTTACCATTTTAAATTTTCAGGAAAAATTTGCCCTTAAAAAAACCTTTGAGCATCTAACACTATGAAGTGAAGACTTTAATTTTCACATTAACCTTTTAAATATATATACACACACAAATATGTTAATATTTTGTTTGCTAAAGCATAGGTATCATCTATTGGAGGTAATCCTATTCGAGACACTGTCAGACACTAAATATGGACACTTTTCCAGCAGGGATTCAAACTTTAATTTACCATGTTATGAGAAATTCAAGCATGAGATCTCATGTGAGCTTTTCGGTGGAGCACTGGAGCTGGTATAATAGTTTAGATGGGAACAGAAAGTCAGAAAGGGTGAAGTATGAGGGAGAATGCAAGGTCACATGCGAGGCAGGAACCATAACCCAGGAAAAATGCAGCACTCCCATGTGCGTTGTCGTTCTTCCTATGTTATTTTATTCTAACAGAGGAATATCACCACACCTACTCATTACAGACAAAATCCTTTTATTGGGATTTGCCCTCTTTTTAAAAAATGTTAGAATTAAAATAGGGCAAAAAAAAAAAAAACTTGGCATATTAAATTAATTTGTAATTTATTCAGAATTTTAAAATATTTTTTAATAGTATTCCGTATTCAAAATTTAAGATGCTTGTTGCTACTAAGAAAAATATTTTAAGAATAAAATTGTACTAAAAATATTTAATATTGGATGTATTTTTAAAAGAAAACTACTTTGTAGTGTTGATGAAAAAATTTTAGGGTATTGGATATTAATTTTAAAATTATATACACACACAAAAATTTATCCAAGGAGAATTACAATCAAGTCATATACAAGAGAAATAACTATTAAAAAGTCTAATAACAATCTAAGTAGCTTGTAATGATAAGTTTCAAAATGAAAAATAATAACTTTTAGGATTTATTTTGTAATTTTTTTTGAGTACAGGATCTTATTATAATTCTCCTGTTTATCTATGACTGACACCAGTCTTTTTTTAACCTTTCTTACTGCTGGGACCATCTCGGTGGCTTCTTTTAGGCCCGATAACTTCCCGCTCAAATCTATCCCGACGGAGACAAAATATAAAAAATACAAGAAAATTAAAGAACAAGATGTAAGCAAGGGGATAATATAAAATATTACAGCAAATCAACATAATCTCAGCACGTAGGCCCATGTAAGGCCAACGGCACCCCAACATTTTTAGGTAATCTTTGCCTAAACATATTGGAAAAAACCAATCCTATTTTGATCAGAAGACATAGCCTCATTAATTAATGACTATAACAAAGTATATATCTAACTTGTTGCGGATAAATTTTTGTTTTTTTCCCTTCCTCCTTAAAGAACGCTCTGCAAATAAAATCCCAGGAACAGACGACTTTTTCACTAACTCGGACGAACTAAACAATAAACATCCTTGATATTTTTGGGTCATGAGACATGGCTCTATAGTATTTTCGGCATGGAGGTGACCGTTTTTCTAGTAACAAACATGGAAGCCACAGCGAGGGAGAGGACCGAACGTGATTGAAGGGATGTTTGGCAATATATATATACATATATATCATAAAAAAAATTTAAAATTATAGTTTTGATTCTATCTAAATATCCTCAAAACCGTGTCCTGACTTATCTACGGCTAATTAGGTTGCCAAGTGTTGCTTAGCCTTCTTGTATGAAAATTCTCATTTCTCATTTGTCCCGTGTGAATGAATGACTCCGGAGTCTGGACCCAAAAATACCAAAGTTGCTTTTTTCTTTATTTATTCTTCTTTGTTGAAAAACTTTTATGGAAGCAACCAATTAGAGCAAAAAGATTCTTCCATCCATCAGAAAAGAATCTGATACAAAACTCGAAAGGGGCGAGCGGTTGATTATATGGGATCAAAAGATGTCGGTCATTTTAATACATTTAATAAATCTGATTCTAAAAATTCCGCCTCGACCGGGACGTTTGTGAGATGGGCGTTATATTATAGGGGACCATTATGCTTAACCTTGCATACTTATGGAACTGTTTATTGGGTATTATGGAAAGAAAAAACTGGAGGGAAAAAAAGTTTTTTTTTTTGGTTGGTTTTGCTTCTTTAAGAGCTGAAAGATGAAGGTAGCTTCCTAGCTAGCTCAGCGCCGCCTGGAACAAGAACAAGGGAAGGGTGGCATTTTGGAAGAAGGGCATCTTCTTTATCAAAAATTCTTCCTTTCTTGTGTATTTTGCTTAGTTCATATATATTATTTGGCTCGCTGGTTCGTTTTGCCATTCTAAGGTCAACAGCGAGAACTTTTTTACCTTGCTGAGAGGCTATAAAAGAGCAACCTTCCCTTACAGAGAGATAGAGCCATAAGAGAGACATATAAAGGTGTTTGAAGAAAGTAGTAAGAGAAGAACCTTGTAAAGCCCGTCATTGTAAACAAGGTTTCTCATTATTCTCTCTGTTCAATTCCAAATTCCCATTGTTTCTCGTTTTGTAATTTACGGTTTTTTGCCATGATATCTATGTAACTGGTATCTGTTTCTTCTACCGCCATCCTCGCTTCCGTTTCATACCATAAACCATCACTCTGCATTTTCTTTATTGGTATGGTCATCATTCTTAGTTTAATCAAAGGGAAAGGTAAGTGGGTCTTGGTATAAATATACCTCAGTGCCAGTGGTACTACTCATCTTTGTCTGTATAGGTTGTGCTGTCTTTTTTATTTCTTATCACTGAACTACTGTCTGTATTTCTCCTTGTTCTCTGCATTTTCTACAGGACAAGAAGCGAAGGGCCAGCCTTGTGCGGGGGATAAAGTGAAAACTAAGAAGGAAGAATGAAGTACATCTTGGTGACAGGTGGTGTTGTCAGTGGACTTGGAAAAGGGGTCACAGCTAGTAGTATTGGGCTCCTTCTCAAGGCTAGCGGTCTCAGAGTCACTTCAATCAAGATTGGTATTTCTGTTGTTCTCATTCTTCTATGCATTCAAGTTTCACATTTTTTTTTTGAAGGAAAAAATGGTGATATATAGGAGAAATTCAATTGCCGAAGGCCATTGGCCCCTTGCGGAGAGTTTTTTTTTTTTTTTTTGGTTTCCAACTTGACCATTTCCTTGATTTCTTGAGGTTTTACATGAAAGGAATTCCTTTGCTTTTGTTGGGGGGGGGGGGGGGGGGGAGCAAAGGGGCTTCCTTTGTCTGATATGCAGAGGGCCATTTGCTTTCCCTGAGCTGATTTATGTTTCTTTTTCTTTTTTCTTCTTGTTTTTTAGCTTTCATATTTTCTTCTTTGCTTAAGGTGGACGCTGATCATGTCCTTTGTTCCCTTTTTTCCCGTTTAGATGTTTTTATGTCAAAGAAGGAAGTACGCAATCGATAACTCTATCTTTCTCTGAAAACAATTGTTAGATAATATGATAATGCAGTTTATTCTAAATTTCTACTTACTGCTTCTAAAGTTAACTGTCTTGTGCAGACCCTTACCTGAATATTGATGCTGGGACAATGTCTCCTTTTGAGCATGGGGAGGTTTATGTTTTAGACGATGGTGGTGAGGTAAATGAACGAAATTGCTGTTAATTACGTATGAGAGTGTGCAAATTGCTACTTCCTTCGAATGAATTAAAAGCCAGCTTGAAATTGTATCTATATCTTGTTTTCCTTTTTGGTGTTGAAGGTTGACCTTGATTTGGGAAATTATGAGCGTTTCTTGGATATCAAATTAACCCGTGACCACAATATCACTACTGGAAAAATATATCAGGTAACTGAACTCCCTATATCCTTATGGCTAGAAATATGTTTTATTTCAAGTCTAACTAGCCATGGCTATATTTGCTTATTATTATAATTAATTTGAAATTTGTTTTGAATGCATACTAGTCGGTCATTGAAAAGGAGAGAAGAGGAGATTATCTGGGAAAGACTGTCCAGGTGTGTTTAATATTTGAGATTGTCTCTTTTGAAGTTACCTGCTATGTTTAATTGGACCTTGATTTCATATTTATCTTTTTATTATTTGTAGGCTGTTCCACACTTAACAGATGCCATCCAAGAATGGATAGAGCGTGTAGCAAATATACCAGTTGATGGAAAAGAAGGACCTGCTGATGTTTGTGTTATTGAATTGGGCGGAACTATTGGTAAGTTGGAATTTTTAGAACAATCTTTAGTTCAAACTTTGGCGGTATTTTTTTCTGGAGTGGGTTATTAAAAGTCCACTCAAATAATGCCATATACTATCTTCGGTCCTTAATATAAGACCTTGTTTGACTTTTATTTTGGTCCTAAATATAAGACTTTAATATACTTTGTCTTTCATATTTATGAATTTTTTTTCTCTCAAGATAGTCCTTCTAACGATGATAATTCCAGCCAATACACTTGATTAGTAAGAATATTTTAGGGAAGACAACACCTATTTATTATAAATAACTAACTTAATTTTTTTTCTTAATTTCTTCAAATTAGTCAACTAGCTCTTATAATTAAGACCAAAGGTAGTATTATTTTTTTATAATCATGGGTGAGCTGTGAGCAGAATTTTCCTATTATGCACAGAAAATTGAGAGTCGGAAAAGTCTCAATTTTAGCAGTACCATGAAAAATTAGAACATCTTTATTATGAATTTAAAATTCTAAATTTAAGAATATTTTTCTATTGATGCAGGTGATATTGAGTCCATGCCTTTTATTGAGGCACTAGGCCAATTTTCGTACCGCGTGGGTAATGTTTGCTGTGTTCAAACCATGCAGTTTACTATCTCCTCTGAAGCCATTTTACTTATTTTACTAATTATGATTATGATTATAGGTTCTGGCAACTTCTGTTTGGTTCATGTCAGCCTAGTCCCTGTTCTTAATGTTGTTGGTGAACAGGTATGCTGAAATATATATGTAACTCTCATCCATGTAATGTTTATATATGCTAAACAAATCTAAAGAAATGAAAATAATTTAGTTTAATACGTCAATTGTAAGATTGAGAATTTTGGTTTATGTTAATTGCTCCATATCTATGATCTGGTAACATAGCCGAGGCTCGATGGCATCTTGCCTGATGGTATTATAATCTATTTAATACTGTCTTTGCATACTTATTGATAGTTTTATTGTGCAGAAAACAAAACCTACTCAGCACAGCGTCCGTCAACTTAGAGGATTAGGTTTGGCCCCTCATATTCTAGCTTGTCGCAGCTCAAAGGTGTTTGCCCTTATTGTTTTTCCTATTATCCTGTTACTCCATGAAATAATGGTCTAAAAAATATAAATATTGTCATCTCCAGGCTCTCGATAAGAATGTCAAGGCAAAGTTGTCTCAGTTTTGCCATGTACCGGTAATATGACTTGCTGACATTTTTCTACTTTCTTTTCAACTAGAGTCTAAAACATCTCTCTAAGCAAGCTTTTTCATTTGCAGTTATCAAACATAGTTACGCTTCATGATGTTCCAAACATTTGGCACATTCCTTTGCTTTTAAGAGTAAGTAATTCTATAGTTCTTTTGGAACTGTTTTCTGCCGTTGCTTATACTACTGGAAACTTCTCTATCATATATGTCTAGTCTACTTTCTTGGGGGGGACCCCGGAAAACAAAAAACCTTATTTCATCAGGTGATTAATTTATACAAGAACCTGATCTCTTTATTCTGATCATATCTTCTGTAACAAATAGGATCAGAAGGCACATGAGACAATCTTTAAAGTATTAAACTTGACAAGGTTTGTTTGCCAAAATCATCTGAGAAGCTTTATGTTATTTTTCTGTCACTTTTCGCTGTATGGCTGTCATGCCACTAATGCCCCTCTTATTTGCAGTGTTGCTACTGAGCCTAATTTGGAGGAATGGACTGAAAGAACAAGAGTTTATGACTCACTGAAAGAACCTGTGCGTCTAAATAATTTATATCCACAAGAAATGAATTTATATTTGATTCTCTAAACTTCCAAATATTTAGCTCACAACTATCATATGCTGCACAGGTTAGGATTGCAATGGTTGGAAAATACACCAGCCTTTCAGATGCTTATCTTTCTGTTTTGAAGGTATGTTGTTTGATATTGATTTGCCATCCCTCACAGTAATGCTTATCAATTTCCATTTGCTCTGTCATTCTTTGCAACCTGTGATTTTAGTACTTCATTTCACAAGGCATCATGAGTTTCTCCTTTAAAGTATAATCGCAGCCTGTACTCAACTTCATTTCTCACAATGTTTATAGGTATTAACATCCAATTTATCTTCCTTGGTTCTCGTTTCTACCATAGATAGATTTTGTATGGCTTATCTGTCAGTCGCATCTATGGACCTATAGCAACCCATAAGTATCTGGTGCAGGGAGGCTTGAATTTAGACACTGTTCAGGGAGAGTTGCTGGAGGATTTAAATTTAAGCATCAAGGATCAAAGAAGATTAGGATTACTGTGGATACTGTTGGAAACAATACGACTACATTTGGATATTTAAGAAATTATGCTGCCATTTGGTCTTGAAGACATTTGTGACTCACTTAAGGATCTCATAAGCGGTTGGTAGTCACTAATTAAGACAAAATTATGCTCCACATGTACGTATATATTGGAAAGAAGATGATGAACTGCTGTTCAGCTGGTGTCTCGTTATTTTTGTATTCTTGCAACTTCATGCATGATGCTAGAAACGAAGCGTTTGAGTGCAGTTTTAAAGATATCAATTTCTACAAAACCACCGAAGAAACGTTTTTCTCAATAACTTCTCTGTCATCCCCATGAAACATGGCCTATCTCTGTAACTAAATTCTGTCTTGATTATGAACTTATTACTCGCTTCATTCTCTGCTTTTATCTCTCTCCTGCCATCAAATCAAAATTTAGATTGATTTTGCTGCCAAAAAAAAGGGACAAACTACATTAAAATGCATATAATTATTAATGATTGAGGTGCATGGCTTGGGGCATCTATTGGCAATGAATCTTCTTTGAATTCTGCTGTATCATGTATTGAACTTTCTTTCTTTGTGCAGGCGCTTTTGCATGCTTCTGTTGCTTGTGAGCGTAAACTTATTGTGGACTGGATTTCAGCTGCGGATCTGGAAGATGCTACATCTAAGGAGGTGACTTTTTATATTACTGTAATGCATATGTAGGTAAACTTTTTGCCAGATATCTGATGGCTAATTTACTTGCAGGATCCTGAAGCACATAAAGCTGCTTGGCGTCTTTTGAAGGTTATCCTACTAATTGTAGTTTGTGATTTTCATTTTTCTTTCTTCAATGTCGTGTCACTTATTCAAGAAGTGATGTTAAAATTAAATTTTGTTTTTCTGAATCATCTTCCATTGCAGGGTGCTAATGGGGTTCTGGTTCCTGGGGGTTTTGGTGATAGAGGGGTGCAAGGGAAAATCCTTGCAGCCAAGTATGCCCGGGAAAATAATGTTCCATATTTGGGTATTTGCCTGGGGATGCAAATTGCCGTCATTGAGTTTGCACGATCTGTTCTGGGTCTACATGATGCTAATAGCACGGAGTTTGATCCTGAAACAAAGACCCCCTGCATTATATTTATGCCAGAGGTATATTGTCTTAGTATGATAATCTTCCTTTTGGAATCTAGTTAACCTGGTTTATATTCCATTGCTAGGGCTCAAAGACTCATATGGGAGGGACCATGCGTCTTGGTTCAAGGAGGACTCACTTCCAAGTTGCGGACTGCAAATCTGCTAAGCTGTAAGAACTAAGAAGTAGCTCTAGTTTATATGTGTGTGTTAGCATATCATAATATCATAGCATGTATCATAATGAATTTTCTATTTTCAAGAAATCCTTGCCAAGTAATGATTAGGCATATATTTATAATACTATAATTTGGGATTGTGAACAGGTATAATGATGCAAGTTTTATTGATGCACGACATCGGCATAGATACGAGGTAAACTATATTTTCATGCTAAAACTATTTTTGCGGATAAAAATGCAACGGTAAGTCACTTGAAATAATTGTAATGCCATGCAGGTTAATCCTGACATGATTTCACGGCTAGAAAAGGCTGGCCTGTCTTTTGTTGGCAAGGATGAAAGTGGGAAGCGCATGGAGGTTAGTCTTTTCATGAATTGGTGTGGATCTTAGGATTTTCCCACTAAATAATAAATTCTAATCTTGGTAAATATGTATACAAGCGCAGATAATTGAACTTCCTGGTCATCCTTTCTTTATTGGCGTTCAATTTCACCCAGAGTTCACATCCAGGCCAGGGAAACCTTCCCCACCCTTCTTAGGTATCTCTCCAGAGAGCCACTTCACATCTTTCGACAATTAAAATTTTGTTTGCTGATATTTTAAGCATGCAACTCGCTTGTTAACATAATTATTCTTGATGAACTCTTTTCTGAAGATTAATCTTCTACTTACTCCTTCAAATTGGTAATTGGAATCCATCTTGCAACCATGATGGTCTTCTTCCATATCATGTGGCTATTTTATTCGTGCCTTTCATTTGGGCGGAACCATGCACGTCATGCTGTTGGATCAATGGTGTATTGTTGAATCATTTCATGAATTGACTAAAATGATAATGCAACAACTTAAAAGGACTCTTTAGATTGTTTTTCCTGTAATCTTAGTCTGAGATGGTTGTGTTGAGGCATTATTGTCTTGGGTAGACTTGGTCTACAAAACGACAGGTAGATTTATGAAGGATATTTATGCCATTTACTTTTTTCCTTTTATTTTCAATTTTTTTGTGTTCAAGTATTTTCATTTTTTTCATCCATATAAAACATGCAAATCGGTTTCATGGTAAGCCCATAGCTTTTACTTTTAATGATTTCCATTCCGTCAAAAACCATTCCATTGCACGTAAGGTGACCTTAGTTTTTCCGCAGAGCAAGAGTGGCTTTCTGTAAACTAAACGTCTTTCTGTGAAACAGGGTTAATAACAGCAGCAAGTGAGCCAAGAACAGTTCTACCAACAAGCAATGGCCACGCTAGTAAGTTAAGTAATGGGAAATGTAGCAATGGATATAGCAATGGACATTCACCAGTGCTGAGAGCACAACATAATGGAAATGGGTTCATACCTTCCAGTGGTTCCTTAAATGCTGTATATGCCAATGGCAATGGTCACGTGTACGTGGATTGAAGTTGCTGATCATCATGTGGGTCTGCTTCATCTTCTTACCTCTACAATCTTTTGGTCTAAATTTCTCGAAGGGCTTTCTCTTTTTGTGTCCTCGGTTACTCTGTACAGTCTATTGAGCCGGTAGAGAGATCTTTTGTCTCTAAAGGGAGAAACTTGAGAGACTTGACTCCAGCATGAAGAAAATTTTGAGTCTAACAGCATTTATATTTTCCAAAAAGTATAGGGGCTGAAGGTGTAAAATTACCCTTGCAACCAAAAGTGTCTTGTTTTACTGAGTGGCCATTGGTTTGAAGGAGAATGTACACTGTTCTTTAGTTATGTTATGAACAATGGACTTTGATTCTGTTTGGTCTAGTTTTATTTCTTGATAATGAAATCATATCTTTCATGTTATTAATGGTCCATTTATACCGTGGCCATATCCATACATTGATGTTTTCGGTGGTATACTTTTTTTTTTTTTTGGGTGGAGTTTTTATCAGCTACATGCGTCAGTTGGCTGCACAGAGATTATGTAATTTTCTCAACCAGGGAAGGGGGAAAATGTTTTTTGATGCCTCACCAGTTATTTTCACTAAGAGGCATTCATAGCAATGGACAAGAAGTTAAAGAAGGCACGTGATGATATATTATGACTCAATCAAGTTTATATATAAATAAATAGTGATCTGAGAAACGGTTTGGAATCAAAAGAAAAATTTAATAAATCTCTCTATTTGTTTCTGGTACGAGTACTCAATAAAACGGCCTTTGCTAATGCTACTGCCTCCAAATATTATTAGCTTTTCTTGCTTCAGACAGATTCGGCGACAGAATAAAACCTAGCACTTTTGTTGCATTGTAACTGATTGATTATTAATCATTGTTTCTATAAAATATTTCTTATCCAGCTGTTATCTATAGACATGATAAGATCCATAAATATTCATGTTTTTTGACGTAGAATGTTAAAATTTAATTTAGAATGTTTCAAAAATCCGAACCTCAAGCCTTATAATTTCTCCACCAGTCGAGATGATTGGCTCGGAACATTCAATCAGACTATAGAGAATCCACTCCAGATTCTGTGAACCAAGAATGAGAAACAATAGAAACATCCTTCAAAATTTTATGAAATTAAAACTTAGTCTTAAGTTGATAGTTGGCAGACCATAATAACACTGATTTATGTAAGTGGGATGGTATTTGTTTTTGTTGTAAAAACTGTTAAAAAAGTCTTTCAACTATGAACATGTCATTACTGCATTAGGATTCCCACAACTCTTAATCGACCTGGATATGAATCTTAATGTAATAACAGCTACCTGAAGGCAAGGAGGCATCAAAAAATCAGCATAAAAATTCAATATGCAAGCAAATTATAATTCGATGAATTTGAAGCACAGATGTCTGCCCGAAAAGTCAGCATCCAAACAAGGCAATTAATTTTCAAGCCAGCTACAAGCATAGCTATGAGGAATCACTTGGAAGACATCTAATGGGTTCAATGCACCAATTTGGCTCTTTACTGTTGATATTCGTTGTGGATATGCGTAAGATCCTGTTGTGGTAGCCGCATAATGTTTGTCTGTGGCCAATACTGATGTATGTTATACCTGCTGCTCCAATCTTCTGGTACAAATGAAACTGTCAAGCCAAAGCACAACAGAAAGAACTTCTTTAGTGGAGGAGTATCTTTTAGCTGCACGTGGTGGCCAAGAAGATAAAGAAAGAAAGAAAGAGTGACAGATCCATTTGTGGTTAACGGTCCTTAACCTCAATGGTCACCAAAAAATTTTGGGGTGGGGAGGATCTTTTCTTCAAAAGTTCTTCTCAAAGGTTCAGTTTATGTGAATATGACATGCCCGTATGGAGAATTGTAATTCGTCCATCAAATTGGATAGCATAAACTTTAGTTGATAAATTACATATATGTTGGATAAAAATTGATATTGAAGTTTAGAAATACCTCATTGAGTTCATCAAGTGCACTTGTGGATTCATCCAATAAAACCAACCGAGGCTTTAAAAGCAAAATGCGGGCAAAAGCAAGCCGCTGCTGCTCCCCAAGAGAGAGAACGCTTGACCAATTATGTGTGGAATCCAAGCTGAAACGAGCCAACAGATAGCCAAGGTGAACATCCTCTAATACCGTTGTCAACTCATCTGACGTTGGATACCTAAGTTCTTCATTTTTGTTTTGATAGTTTGGTGATTTCATGAAAAAAGGAAGCATGCCTGGAGGACAAGTCAAAATAAGCTCAATTAGTTAGTATTCCTGCCAATTTTTATCAGTATTTTTCATTTATATTTTCCATTTTTCTAATTATATGTTATTAATTTATCAGCCAAAAAAAAAACAGTGAACGGAGTTACCCAAAGGATTTTCCATTTAATCACAACATTGAACAGCATTTTCTTCAGATCCAATTAATGGAATGGAGCCCAATGAATATCAAGAAGGAGATGTGCTCATCAGCCTTGGTTCACTGTTAAATTAACTTGTCTATGCAGTTAATATCTACTTGATCAAAGATAAAGAAGATGCATCTGTGTCTTTTGGTCTCTTAATCAAAGACGACTTATCTATATACTGTTAACTTTGAAAATATCTCCTGCACAACCTCATGCTCCCTACATAAAGCTATTTTTAAAATAATTAAACTTCTCTTCTTGGTCAAATTTCCCTTTATATCGATTACTGTAAAGCCTCCCACACAAAAAGCCTTTTGACTATTATTATCATGACAATACTCCCCATACTATGATTTCAGCACCCGCCATGTGATACTTTGAAATAATAAAAATAATTTTGGAAATGGTATAATACTAGAGAGATAGTATAATTTGTATCAAGAATTCAATAGGCCAAGTGCAATGCAGAGAGAACACCAAAAAAAGGGGATGGAGTAAAAAACATAATTAAAAATTAGGAAACGAAAATGAAACTAGATACGACATACTTTTTGATTCGGCACCATCAGATCCAGAGGTTGCATAGTCAGCCCATGTTGGATAGAGTAGTTGTTGACGGAGGGTGCCCAAAATCATATATGGCCTTTGAGGAAGGAAGAAAACTTTGGAGTTGTTCTCTACAGATTTTCCGTCCATTTCACACGCACCATGAGCAGTATTTAAGGTAGGAGCATTCACATCTGAACAAATGGGTTGCTGAGAATCTTCTCCATTTTTCTCACAATATGAGATTTTTCCGGTTCCAGTCTTCCATAGGCCAGCCATAGCTCTTAATAAAGAAGTCTTGCCACTTCCACTTGGTCCAATTATCTGTAAAGCCGGTTATATTAGAAATGCAATTTTGCAGCCTCAAAAGGTTACCACTCCAACCAAAGAAGAATACCTAAATAGATTGCTGACCAGTATATGATCCTTTCCCTTGATTGTTAATGACAACTCCCTAATAAGTGTGGCTCCAGTTGGTGTCTTCAAGGTCAAATTTTTTATCTCCAACAATGTGTCAATTTTTTCTTGGAGGTTCATCAATCCATTGGATTCCAATATAGATGATATATTTGAACATTTGTAAGTAACAAATATCTCTTCTATGGTATTGGAGTGTAATTTAGAGCTGCCGCTTCTGTCCAAGACATCATCAAACTCACCTGCATGTGCAATCCAGGGATAGTCTTTTTAGTGTGTTTCATTATGTCTAAATTAACAGACTTAACTGGTGAAGCATCTCATTTCCCAGGTCCTGTATGTAACATGAAGCATGATGACTCAGTGCAAACAGTAGAAGAGAACAACTAAAGAAATTCACAATGAATCAACAAGTAAAAGAAAAAGCCATAAAAAAACATATATTAAGACTACAGAATATATGGATATCATGAGGACTAAGGATATAATTACTTTCCTACAACAGAAAATGCAGTACAAAACAACAATACAATGATTTAAAAAATGCAAGATATAAATGACTCTCTCTTATCTGCAGAGTAAAGCGCAATCACTAATTAATGTTCATATCATTCATAAGATCCTCATACATCTAGTGATGGGAAAGATAGAGAAGAAAAAAAGAACAACATACCAAGCCGATTAATAACAGCAGAAAATGCACTTAAAGCTTGAAACTTGTACACGATAAGGGAAAAGTCCTCAAGGATGTGATTAAAAGCAGAGATAGACTGATTGATCACACCAATCTCGATTTTTCCAGCAAAATACATGGGCGCTACAACAGCAGCAGGAAGAATTTGAATAAGATAGCGGTAGCCTTTGGTGAAGAACTGCAGATTTCTAGAAGAGATCAGCAATTGCTGCGAAATAAGAAATACAAAGTTATATAATTAATCATCGCTTCATTGTAAAATAAAGTATGAAACTGCATGACCTAACTCACAGAAAGGATTACTATAGTAAAAGGGAAAAGAAGGGATGCAGAAAAGAGGCTGCTTATGGTATCTCACTGAATCGACCAACTCTCATAGTCAATGGCCGAGGTCGACTGATTCAAATTCAAGCGTTCTAACCGCAGGGGTTCTCAGATAATCCACTCAAACCACCTGGTCTCTAGGAAGCATGGACACAAACACAGCAATGTGACAAAATCCAATATAAGGGTCTAAGTCAGATATGGGCACAAATCCTCGGTTGTACTTCATAGGTTGGTCTAATTCATCTTTCACAGTATATCATATACTGTTGTGAGGCACAATTAAAATACAGTTTTATTTTAATGAGATTACTCATCAAAATGTCTTACAGTTCTATTTTCAAAGGCACTTCTGAAGCTGTTCAGAAGAATTTGCATTTCACTGTCTTCACCACCGTAAAAAGCAATTGATTCAGCATTTTCTCGAATCCTTACAAGCCCATAACGAAAATCTGCTTCTTTTTTCTCTTGCAGTAAATTTAAAGTCACCAACCCCTGTTATTAGGAAGATTTCAATTAATAAAAATGGTACTATGTTAAAGCTCCTCATATATTGTCTGACTTTTCCCTTGCATTCTGAATTGCCATTCAAAACAATAGAACCATTACCTTTCCCAGTAAAACACTGACAGCTGTCCCACCGATGGAGTATATGAGAAGAACAACAAAGAGAGGAGGATAGACGTGATACAAAATGTTACTAAATGAGATTAAGTCTATGGCAGCATTAAAGAGAGTCAGAGAGAATGAGAGAGCTGTTTCAGTGAAAGATTTCAGATCATCAACAAGTCGCTGGTCTGGATTATCAAGGGAAGAGTGTGACTGAATCTTATAGGAAGTCTGATTCTTAAAATAGCGTTCCATGTAATAGCTCGTCATCCAAGACCTCCATCTCAAAGAAAGAGTTTCTATTGCATAATCTCTCATTACAAAAAACTGCAAGTCAGTGACGAAGCAAGTTAGGAACATATGCACGATATTGGAGTAAAGTACTACGGACCAGAAGATAAAAGCCAAAAGGATTCAAACAGCAGAATACCACGATACGAAACAATTTGATAGGATAAAAGAAGGGTAATGTGTTACCTAGGTGTTATACTCTATTTCAAGACATTTGTCACATGTTTAATAAACGATAAATCTACATATAACTTATTGATAGCTGCTTATGAAACAACTAAGCAGTCAACTAAGACGGCTTCTGAAAATTGCTATCAAGCAATGACAGGCCCTCAAAGGGCAGACGCAGGCCCAGAAACATGACAGGCCTTATAGGTGATTTGAAAGCGTGTTAATTCTATTTCATCATCTCTTGCGTCTTTCCCATTCCAGGTTGCATAAAAGGACAAAAGTGATCAACATTGGAAGGGCTACAGCAAAGTGCAGCTTTTCTATACACAAGGAAGTCCAGAAATGAGCTCACCGGGATTCCTCCAGCAAAGCCACCCAAGTAGTAAAGCAGCTGCTTCGTGAATTGCTCTTGGTCCTTGCCTTGCATTATGAAATTTAAACCAACTCAGTCGTTTGACGCTAATTCATCAAAAAGTTGAAGCAAAATCTTGCATACAAGCGGAGTATAAATGGCCAAATAGATAACAATTGCAAGACAATACGAAGCAGTTATGCCAACATATGTACATAAACGTACTGGCAAGTGCATTATAGAAGTCTCGCCCAAGGAAATTGAAGCCCACGCTGATACCAGTGGTAGCGAGAGTCAGAGCGAAAACAGCAGCAAGCCGTAATCTTGCTTGAAATTTGTCATCTGACGACCAATAAGGAGTCGCCACTTTCCAGAACCTTCCAAAAACTGTCTGTAGATCAGGACCCTTGCCTTGTGCAGCCCCAGAAATAGTTACTTCCTCCTCTTGCTGATGCTTCTCCTGCAATTCAACACAGGCCCCAAATTCAACCCTATCTATCAAACATTACGTTAAAATACGTAAGAGAGCAAGAACACAATGAAACCTTATGGAGGTCCGGCGGCAATGGAGAGTTTGTTGTTGCAGAGGAAGAGAAAATGCTGGTGTGGTCGCTCTGATTCCTCCTCCTGCGAGCCCTGCTTTTGTAAGTGGCCATGATGGGCACTTCAATTCCTGAATGGGATGAAAATGGCGATCACTGGAACAGTTCCTCCCCCGTATTGAAATGGCTCTGTAAGAGAGAGAAGCGAGGCCCAAGGGTCCAGCAAGACCGACCGGTGTGAGTCCCACCCACCACATGCTCCATGACTCTCCACTCTCAAGAGATCGTCACCCTCTTTTGGGATTTTGGCAAGGTTTTGAGCAAACTAAAAGCACCCGATGGTGGCCAGGCACATCAAAAAATTAGTTAGGTTAGTTATTTATAATAAATAAGTATTATTTTTTAAAATATTCTTACCAATCAAGTATTTAATTAAAATTATTATTATTATAAGAACTATTTTAAAGAAAAAATAAATAAATATAAAAGACTGAATTGGAATCTTATATTTAAAATTAAAATAAAAATAAAACAAGTTAGTATGATTTTTCAGCCTTGCTCACGGGAAACATGCATTGTTTCTTTATCTTACTGTAGTGTAAGAATCAATCCAAATTATTCATTCCTCCATTTGGCCTCAAGTTACATTGAAATTTTTAATTTTTTTTTAAAATTTTTTTATCAGTGTTATTATTTTTTGGAGAAAAAGAATCAACAAAACAAAATGATGGTCATGGCAAGGATGTGAAAAGAATTTATTCACTTAACGCTCTAGATTTTTTGTTTTAATCGCAGCTAGTTGTAGGCAAGAGTTTAGCATGCAATGTAGTGCTAGGAAGAACGCGTGCCACAAGAGGCATTAGAATGATCTAAATTATGAACAAATCTAAACAAAAGTACAATAGATTGACCGCGCATATATATATATATATATATATATTCTTATATTAAAAGGTTTATATATTCAACAAATTCATATCTTATTGTAGATACAAACTACTCCTCCGGTCCTAATTATAAGACCCAATTGACTTATTGAGGAGATTAGGAAGTAAGTTAAGTTGGTTATTTATAATAAATAAGTGTTGTCATTCCTAAAATATCATTGCTAATTAAGTATATTGGCTAAAACTATCATTATTAGAAGGATTATCTTGGAAAAAATACATAAATATAAGAGACGAAATGGATTGGGGTCTTATAATTAGGACCAAATAAAAAGTCAAATGGGGTCTTATAATAAGTACCGGAGGAGTATGTTGAGAATACTCCATATATCCATGTAGGGCAATATTTAATTCCATCAATTTCTTGACGAAACGTTGCTATGCTTCATGATATCTATTGTGAAGTTCTGAAACTGCCCCATTGAAAACTCCCTGGACTATTTTTTTTGGGGGTTATATCTGTATTGTATTGCAGTTCATTTTATATTCTCGCATATTATCAACATATAGGGTGTTGCAAATATTTAATTTCATGCCCATATTTAGTTTCTGGTGCTGCACAATTCATATTTTATTATTTCATGCCCATTTATGTATATTTAGTTTCGTTGTGTTGCTGCTGCATGGCTACCAATTTATTGATTTCGAAGTCTTAAAGCGATCAATTACCCAACCGGAAGATGGATTAGGAGCAAGAAAAAGAAGACGCAAGAGAACGAAATGCTTGCTGAAGACTTAAGATCAAGCACCCTTACGATCCTTAGAATAGAAAATATATACAGCTCAGACAATTAAGGAAATAGGAGACAAAAGAACAAAATACTTATGCATAACTAGTTGGATCCTTCAGTAAGTAGTGATAAAGAAGTAAGTAGGGAGCTAGCCAGTGCCGGTAACACCAAGGTCCGGCTTGTTTTCGTCTTTTCCGGCTCCGAAGACAGGTCCGCCTTTACGGCGGGATCTGGAACCTTCTCCTGCAACTTTTCGACCTGGATGCTTCCTTGGTCCTCGCTGGAACGGACCAACCGGAAGATGGATTAGGAGCAAGAAAAGAAGACGCAAGAGAACGAAATGCTTGCTGAAGACTTAAGATCAAGCACCCTTACGATCCTTACTAGAAAATATATACGCTCAGACAATTAAGGAAATAGGAGACAAAAGAACAAATACTTATGCATAACTAGTTGGATCCTTCAGTAATAGTGATAAGAAAGTAAGTAGGGAGCTAGCCAGTGCCGGTAACACCAAGGTCCGCTTGTTTTCGTCTTTTTCCGGCTCCGAAGACAGGTCCGCCTTTACCGGCGGGATCTGGAACCTTCTCCTGCAACTTTTCGACCTGGATGCTTCCTTGGTCCTCGCTGGAACGGAGGTCCGTCCTCGTCCTGTTCTCTCCTCCTACCACCGACTCATACACCGTCGCCGTTCTCGCCTCCTTCGGCTGTGCTCCTTGTGCCCCTGACATCCTTCTCTATCTCTCGTACTGTTTATGCAAGACTGTTCAAGTTCATTCCCGCCATTATATAACGGTCGGGCGGTGCGGAAGCGGGTTCTGCAACCTGACCCATATCAACCCACGTGGCAACCCCCTCATGCTATTGGATTACACGTGTCCCCCACTTTTCCACGTGCATTCTTGCGCTCTTTCTGCTCTTTCTTCCAAAACATAAATCCAACCACAACAATTAACTCCATCCATTTATCTACCCAAATAAAATATTATTTTTTTCAATTATTTATTTTGTTTGAAATTATTATAATTAATTACGATCTATTAGAATGTGTAACATTGTTAGTACTGATATTAAATATTACATTGGTGATCATTTTTCTTTGATGGTTTTAATCAATGAAAGAACTCTTTATTTATTTATGCTGATAAAAAAGAACTGTTTATTTAATTTGTAAAGTTTAAGTAAGAATTGAACTCATAAATTTAAACGCTCAGATTATTTAAAAAATAGAATGGATGAGATGCAATCTTTAGATGACATCGTGCGTGTCCTGTGTATTGCCATTGCCAGCTTTGGCAATGATCTGGCAACATGGGCCTCACAATTTTTTCTGAACTCATGCCACAGTATATATAACCATATATCATCCAATAACGTACTCTCTCTCTCTCTCCTCCCCCCCCCCCCCCTCTGTTTCTTCAGTCGACAACAATTGATACAAAAGAGAAATTATGCAGCAAGAGGAATAACGGACATTATCGCAAGAAATGATGGACGGGCCAGCCCAACTAAGAAACCAAGTACAGCGCCACCAAGCACTTCATTCGATGTGTGGCCCAACGGATTCTTTAAATGGGATTAAACAATCCTCATCAACCAACTTGGAGATTTCTACTGTATCTGATGATAGCTCCCCATCAATTTTGTGTTATTGTGCCTCTTGAAGAGGCTTCTTGTCCTTGTGAGTTCAAATATGTGGAGGCTCCTGTTTGAGAGGTCCCAAACGACCTTCTGATGATCTAATTTTTGGAACGTATTACGGAATTTAATTGCATCTGGATCCGTAATTTTGTTCAGTAACTTGGCATGAGTCCCCACTTCTTTTTCTTACACCCTGCAAATGATCATGGCAAGATCAACACTTTTTCAGACATATACTACTTTATAGCAGTTTGCATTGCTCTGACAAACTTATTAAGGGGGAAAAACTGAGATGTCTCATTTAACATTGTCCATTTCTATCCTTAAGAAACGAGGTTTTGTTAAGGATTCTGGCCGGTTTGAGTCACAAAGACTTGCGTTTAATCATGTTATTAAACATGCCATGGAACCTCACGCAGTTATACAAGATATGGCTAGAACATGATCAAGCCCTGAAGAATAGCCCAATCTCAAAATATTTTGTCGAGGTTATAATGTAGTCAATATATGAAATTACAAACACTTGTCATACAGAAGAATGTGTTGAAGGGAAATCCTCCATATCAGTCACGGATCTGATGTCCAACTTTCTTCATAAAGAAATACGGAAGTTAAGGCTTAACAAAGCCCCACTAACGCAGAAGCACAGGCTGCAATCAGAACCTTATTAACAGAGGAAGGATAATGTCAGTAACATAAATTAGCTGAGGAGCGGAATCTTAAATACGCTTTGGTTCATCTAAAATCATGAAGTTTCAATTTGGTCCTCCACTTTCAATTGGTTGATGTTATTCTTCAACGTTACCTCGAGCCTTTTCATTTTAAGTATGTCCTCACATGATTGTTTCTTTTCTGGGGGGTATGGATGTTTGAAATGATTCAACCAGGTGATCAAGCGAGATCATTCTCTAGTCATCAGATTTCCTCACCAGTCCATTTTTCTCCCAGAGAAGTACATTTTTAGTATCATGTCACTCGATCACTTCTCATCTAATAATTACATTATCAATTTCTCATGCATAAGTCGACCACAAATTCTTGACAGACGTGTGTGATTTCTGAGTTGAGGAAAGACATTAACTCAGTGAATACCAGAAGACCAAATTAAAACTTTCAACGAACAATCTTGAAAGCCAACCAATGGAATTGATAAAAGAATAAGGGCCCGTTTAGTATCAGGAATTGATTTTGATGGAAATGGAGATGGAGATGGATATGGAGATGGATATGAGGCTTGAAAACATGTTTGGTATAAGTATGGAAATCTAATTTAAATTTTAACTAAAATATATATTAAAATGTGTAACTACTAAAACACCCTCAAGAACTCAAAAAAAAAAAAAAAAGCACCTCCTCCGCCACCTGAATCTAACATCGGGAAGTCTTTGCCCAACATCATCAACAATGTGGCGTAAATAATCAATCCACAAGCATCGATTATCACCAGGAAAAAGAAACGCACATGTAGCAGCAAAAATCATGGTTCTTCTGATATGTAAAAATTGATGGAACTTCAACCAAAGAAGTAAAAATCATTTTTCTTCACAGATGCAAAAATTGATCGAGCTTCAGAACAAACGATTTCTTTAGAACTGAAGACCCATGTTTTCAAAGGTTAATTTTTCAATGGTTTCGCCCATTTTGTCAGATTTGAAACTATAAAATCAGAGCTTAGTTTGAAGATTAAGCGAACAGAGTTTGGGTCTAAGAGGTAGTCGTCGCTATCGTCTTCAGGCTATCGGAACGAGGGTCGGTAGCCAGTGATGAGCTTGAAGGTCGTTGGAGCAAAGGTGGGTAGTCGCCGGCGATAAGCTTGAAGGCTTCCGGACTTTCGCTTGCATCTGGTTATGGAGGGTAAAAATGAAAGTAGGGAGATGGAATTACAAATCTTGGGGGTGAGGGCGGAGGCCAATTCCAGCACTTTTGGTGGAAATGGAATTGGAAAATTTTCCAATTCCATCATACCAAACAAACATCTTGATGGAAATCAATTCCATTTCCATTTCCATACCTCCCAATTCCATCATACCAAACGTGGCATAAGAGAAAACCAGAAACTGTGGAGAGGATTGAAGCATCACACCATGAGATTACCAAACAAATACCTTATTAGAGGCTAATTGAGCGAAGGCATCGAACAATCCTGGTCCGAAACATGTAATTTTGAAGGAGGAGGATCTGGCGTCTCTGAGACGTGGCAGAGGGAGTTTATGGTGAAGAATTAAGTTTTTTCGGCGCTGGCTGAGAGGAGGGCAAATCTGAGACTGAACAGAAACCCCAGAGAACGTGGAGTGTTGTAATATCATGGTCTCTCTCTCTCTCTCGCGATCGGCGAGTCAATTCCCGTCCGATCAATCTGATCACTGAAAACGTTTCAGTTTGGTCATCTGATATTCATTGTTTTGAGGTCAACTACGACGATCTCGTGCCTACTTTCAAACTGTCAACATTTTTCAATAAAGATCTCTTTGGGTCAAATGGAGCGAAAAGCTTTTTTAGATGGTCTTTGAATATCTGAATCCAAACATATAGTAAAAAAAAATTACAACCAGCCACACTTAAAAAAATTAAATATAAAAAATCTTTAAAATCATCAAATTATTTTGAAGTTTCAAAAAATCTTATTGCAAGAGATTTTATTTGTTTAATTATCAAATTGTTCTTTTTTTTAAAATATGTATTAAGAATTGAAAAAACAGTTGTTAACAATCTAAGGGTGTGTTTGGATGAAACCAAATCATGATTTGCAAAAGTGATTTTGGAGAATAGATTCTGGGGAGAATAGATTCTGTGAAGAATAGATTTTGTAAAAAAGTGATTCTAAGAAGTGAGAGTGTTTGGATAATTGTTATCAGAAGCACTTTTTATATATACAAATTACTAAAAAAAAGACATAAGTTATATGATAATTACAGAAAAAATAGATTTTATGATATATTTTAATTTGAAGGAATAAAATTGTTAATAATATATTTTTTACCAACATAATTAATAATACATAAGATAATATAATAATAAATAATTAATGTGTATATATATTTATAAAATATAAGATTAAATATGTTTATCAAAAAATATGTTTATAAAAAAAATAACAAGATACATATCATATAGGCTCTCACACTCTCCCTTTTTTCTCCAAAAGCAAAAAAATTTTGCTTTTTTCCAAAACCATGGTTTTGGTTTTTAGAGTGGGTGTTTGGGTGATTGACACCCCAAACCATGGTTTGGGTCCCCAAACCATGGTTTGGGGTGTCACCCAAACACACTCTAAGAGTGTGTTTGGATGAAACCAAACCGTGGTTTGGAAAAGTGATTCTGGAGAATAGATTTTTGGAAAAAATAGATTTTGTGAAGAATAGATTTTGTAAAAAAGTGATTCTGAGAAGTGAGAGTGTTTAGATAGTTGTTATCAGAAACACTTTTTATATATACAAATTACTAAAAAAAAGACATAAGTTATATGATAATTACAGAAAAAATAGATTTTATGATATATTTTAATTTGAAGAAATAAAATTGTTAATAATATGTTTTTACCAACATAATTAATAATACATAAGATAATATAATAATAAATAATTAATGTCTATATATATTTATAAAATATAAGATTAAATATATTTATAAAAAAATATGTTTATAAAAAAAATAACAAGATACATATCATATAGGCCCACACACTCTCCCTTTTTTCTCCAAAAGCAAAAAATTTTGCTTTTTCCAAAACCATGGTTTTGGAGTCAAACCATGGTTTTGACCCAAAACCATGGTTTTGGTTTTTGGAGAGGCTGTTTGGGTAGCATTTCCCCAAACCATGGTTTGGGTCCCCAAACCATGGTTTGGGGTGCTATCCAAACAGAGCCTAAGTCAAACAAACCAATCTACTACATGACTATTATATTATTTGATTGTATTATATTTTAAAAAGTATCTATCACTGTTTTTTTATTTTTTATTTTTTATTTTTGCCAGTCATGAAAGATATCTCTTAATTCAATAAAGGCTCTTATTTTTTTGTGATGATTATCTCAGCCTCTGTTGAATCTAGCTATTAAATGAGGTATAAATGGGAAAAAAAAAAAAAAAA